TATGTATATGAGACAGCATAGAGCTCCCTGCTCAAATTAAAAGACAATACCCGTTAGTCTCCCCAGTCAAATGCAGCAATTTTTGATGTGAGACTCAATACTTTTGGGTTGACAGAGTACACTCGCTTTTTCTCTCTCTTTTGCACCTTGGTACCTTTATGTGGATTTATCCAGAAGATACACCTTTTAAAAAACCAACAGCAATAATAGTAACAACCTTAATTTCTGCACATTTCTTAACCTAGTGAGTGCAGCCTATGACTTACCTTTGCAAGAATTCTAGTGTGGCCCACAGTTCTACAGGGTAACTGATGTTCAATATGTAGTAGAGGTAAAACATCAGATACAGTGCCTCAGTAAAACTCAAGAGATGGTCATTCACAATCATCTGGTCTACCGCTCCCATGTATACACTGGCTGTCAGTGGGTTCTCTCCTTTGAACAAACAAAAACCAGAAAGCAATAAATACAGAATGAGAATTTAGCAAATTTCATATCAAGTCAACCACAATCAGTAATTTTGTGGATTAAATATTAAGTGATCATATTAAATGATACTCACCACACACTACTATACATGGAGTAGGTGGAAGCTGCTCTGGGCATATATCATTTGGAACACAAGTGTCTTCTACCATCACAAGAAACTGATCTTGGTCATTTTTGAAATGGGCAGGCAGCAACATCACTGCCCCACAAACATGATCCCCTCCAGTCCTAATCTTGGTGAGGATTCTCCCTGCTCTGCTTGCTCTTTCTGTGCACTGAAACTGAAAGTACTCTGATATTCTTCTGAATTTACTGGTAGTGGCTTCTTCAAAGCTGTTGTTCACGTCAATGCCAGTGAGCTCTTTAAAGTGTGCTTTCATTCCTTCTGCCTGGAAAAGATATGGCCACTCATCAAGTAACTCTTTGGTTTCCTTTCCAGATTGGATGTCATTTCTTTGGGGGGGTGTAGGTAGCAGTCATCAAGTTGTAGATTGTCTTTACATTGCTTTCCTTATTTTGAAACATTTCAAGCAATTTCTCTTTTTTTTCCCCTGTTGCAATTCTGGCGTTTCTCCAACTGGCAACTGGGGTTCTGAATTTATACAACCATACTCCAATTTCCGTTTCTTTGACTCTTCTGGCATATAACAAAGTGGTCTAGTGGAAGTTTTTGCTTTTTAAATTGTCAATTCGACAGACTAGTTTAAGGAGAGAGTCATATCCACTTCCTACAATCTGGGAATTAATCTCATCTCTAAAGGACTTTGGGTATGCAATAATAATTGTTCGGGCTATTTCTGATACATGTTTTTTTGTTGGACATTTACTGACTTCCAGGATTTCAGAAGCAACAATGCGAACCAACTGTCTCCTCTCAGAGCAACTCGGCCTTTCCCCACTTTTAATCTTCCCCATAAAACTTGTTGGCATTTTTTCCCATGGAATAACAAAATCATAATGCCAGTCATGGTCAGAAACCAAAGTTTCAGAGCTAGTGTCACCTAAAAGATAAAGCAATGTCCACATGTTAGAGAATGAATAATTCCACTTTTCATGCAGCATTCAGTTCTCAATATTCCCATTTTCTTTGCAAATTACTTTACAGTAAATACAGCAATTACAGTAACACTCAAAGCTACCACTTTCCCACTTCTTAAGAAGTGCTACTCAAATTTCTGCTTCTTCTAAAGAGGAAGAACACTGCTGAGCCACACTATATACACTTATGATCACGCCCAGCTTAGAGCGGTAAGTGCCGGTGTCACAGGTGCACTTCACAGTATATATACACACCACCAGAGGACCGGCTTTCAGTCAGTAGAGTGCTTGGTGTCTGAATTGGAAAAGCTGCCAATGTATGAAGTTTGATGAAGGACAAACTGATTGCACGGTGCCTCAGAACTTTGACCTGAGAAATGGCTTGCCTTGTGGGTTGTTCACCTGTTGCTGTAGTGAGTGAGTATGTTTCTGAAGTGGAGAACAGACGGACAAACAAAGAAACACTTTCCAGCCATGTGATGTCTGCAGCTCAGTGATGCCAAAAGGGAGCTACAGGGCCACAGTGTGACAAAACACCAGCAGCAATACAGTGGTGACCAGGGCAATGCGACACAGCATAGAGTTTATCGCAGCCTTCTGCGCATTTGCCTGCATAGCCGACTACCCAGCTGCATCCCCATGATAACTACAGAAGGCTGCCATGAACTGTGTGCTGTGACACATTGCCCTGGTCAGCACTGTTGTAGTTGCAGGTGATTTGTTGCACTGTGGTCCTGCGGTCACTGTGAACAATGCGTGACAGTCTCCGCTCCCCTCTGGAATCAATGAGCTGTGGACGATGCTTCGTTGTTCGGCCATCCATGCTCCACTTTTGAAACTCACATACCCACAAGGTGAGCCATTTACGAGACCAAAGATCCGAGGCACCGTACCATCACAGATGGTCCTTTATCAAGCTTCGGCAGCTTTTCCCATTCTGACAACAAGCACACTACTGACTGAAGGCACACTACTGACTCTAAGCTGGGGGTTGTCAATCTAATGGCTCAGCAGTGTATGAATTAATAGAACTGACAAATTACGTGTCCTGCTTTCAAATGTTTGGTAGCTAGTTTAATGTCAGAACAGATTTTTACTCACATCTTCCAGTTAAAGTGGTTGATGGTGAAGTGGAGCATCCAGGACCAGGTGAACTAGATGCATCAGAGGTGTATTCAGCAGATGTATCATTTGCACTGTTTTGCTGAGTGGAAGCAACATCTAAATAGCATAAACGACCAAACTGGCATTGATACCATATTGTTGAAACATGAACAAACATTAACACTGTACAATAAATAATACAGCTACAAAATACAGAATGAAAAAAACTGGTGTGTTATTTGTCAATTCACGTGAATGCATGTTATATACATTTGTATGCCGACCATTGATTTGAAAGCTTACTTGGGATTTGGGCAATTAGTTTTCTTGCTTCAATTGGTTTTAGGAAGCCAGCTACACCCTGTTCTTTCAGAAACTGAAGGTCATCGATGGTCTCCACACCTAGGCTCTTCAAACCCTCTATGGCAATTATTGAAGTAGTTGGGTTTGGGAACAATCTAGCAACAAACTGCAAAAAAGCATCCATCGCTGCTAGAAGAGGAGAGAATTGTCTTTTTTGAATTGCCTTAACTGTCTTAAGAGAGCAATCACAAAATTTGCACAAATACATATATAGTTAAAGGTAACACACCTAATATGAAATTATTTGTCCATCCAATGAGTGTGCTTAAGTTCTAAAAAATAAAAATAAAAATAAAACAATGAACCAGAACCAGACTCTGTTGCAATAAAACAAAATAAAAAAGAACTACACAGTTCTGTAGGCCAATTAACATTTAAATTCTTTCATTGAACAGTTCACGATCTAAACTGCAAGATGACCAGCTAACAATTTATGTAGTTAACAATTTCCACCTGTTTGCCATTTACATTTAAGATATCATTGGATGTCAGGTCACTTGAATTTAAAAAACAAAAACAAAAAAACACTTACTCGACATCAGGGTCCAGGGTCGATGAATTCTGTCATTTTGCCATCCACACAGCAGAATATGTTGCTTAAAGCTAGCCTACTTGACAGAAACTTTTACTTACAGATTTTTAAAACAAACTGACGCCTGTATTCAAATGAAGTAGCGAACCTCACCCTGTGCGGTATGGACAGACTCTGTTCCAATAAAACAAAATAAAAAATAACTACACAGTTCTGTAGGCCAATTAACATTTAAATTCTTCCAACAAACAGTTCACAATCTAAACTGCAAGATGACCATCTAACAATTTATGTAGTTAACAATTTCCACCTGTTTGCCATTTACATTTAAGATATCATTGGATGACAGGTCACTTGAATTAAAAAAAAAAACACTTACTCGACATCAGGGCCCAGGGTTGATGAATTCTGTCATTTTGCCATCCACAGCAGAATATGTTGCTTAAAGCTAGCCTACTTGACAGAAACGTTTGCTTAAAGATTTTTAAAACAAACTGATGCCTGTATTCAAACGAAGTAGCGAACCTCACCCCGTGCAGTATGGAAAACACGCACCGTTCAACTTGTTACATCATACAATAAAAACTATAAACGTGACCGTTTCTATATTTGTAGGCGTGGGGTGTTTTTAAATCATGTAACGAAAAGGACGGCCTAACCTCACTGCTAACCTTACTGTTGTGACAAGAGCAAATCAGGTCCTGCAGAGACCTTGTGTGCGTTACCTGTTGTGCCAATTAACTCTGTTTACATCCAGTCACGCTTTCCCATCGGAGCAACTACCTTAATTTTTGTGCCAGCGTGGGATTAAATGCTGCGTTTTCGTCTCCACTGATAGGTAATATCTTGATTAACTTAATAATGATAAACGTAAGCCTTGATTCGTGTCGCGTTTTTCTTATAGCAATGTTCAAATCAAAGACGGCGGCGGCATCAAAGAAAGAACAACAACAACCCACAACACGTAGAGGTAGGGCCTATGCAATTAAAAAATCCTGTATTTTTTATTTTTAAATTGTCTCCAAATTCATAACGAGATCAGGGGCACGTTGTCTACATTTATCTGTAGCAACCCAAATTTAGCTAACCCTCTCATTGTGTAAACCGGTTTCCTTTACAAAAAAGAAACACATTTCTCAAGGACACGTGGAGTAGTCTAATGCCCGAAAATTGGTCAATAAACGGAAAGAAGAAGGACACCATGAAAAATGGTATGCATGTTTAACTTCACTTTTACTTCAAATTGAAACTCTTACAATTGAGAAATTGATATGTATAACCATTCTCTCTTTCTCTTTCTCTTTCAGGGACCAAGATGCAGAATGAATTGGAGTTGTGCCCATTGGTCTGTCCAAATCCTTGTGTGTAGAAGACTTGCAATGATGATAATTGGATTTGTTCATGTTGTGTTTTAGAAAGATTTATAGGATAGTTATAGTGTCTATTATGGATTATACAAGCATTGTGAGAAGACTTTTATGTTCTTAATGTTTTGAGTTTCATATTTTACCAAGTGTTAGAACCTAGTGATACTTTTAAGCAGTGTACAAATGTTGGTATTGCTGTTTTTAAGACTGGTGTTATTTACAATAGAAAAGGTATTGCATTGCATTACATGAAAATAGAGGGGGACTAATTAATATTGATTGTTTGTAATAAATTCATATTTGTGAGTGTGACATATTTACACCATAACTAACAGCCTTAAAACATCACAGATTAAAAAAAAACGGTCATAGCTTAATGTAAAATTACAGCTGTAAGCCATAATCATTATACCATATGTATGTTATATTTCAAATCATTGCAACTCATTTTTACATGTGAAACATTGAAACTTAGGGTGGAATTCTTAAACTAAAGTGCTGTGCATGTAATTCAAATTTATGGTCTATTTCAGTTGATTTCTTAAAATATTGGCTGACACAAGTTATTTCAATTTACGGTCAAAATCTGTTAAACAACTATTTAAAATGTATTTCAGTTTACAGTCAAAACATGCTTTCTTAAGTAATGGGTTTACATGTTATGTATATCTATGGTCAAAATTGGTTTATTTAAGTAACTGTTTAACCATGTTTTTACATCTACAGTTAAAACATGTTTCATTAAATAAGGGTTCAAACATGTTATTTAAATTTTCAGTCAAAGAATGGTATTTAATTGAATGGTCTCTGCATGTTTCTTAATTACACAGACAAAACATGTAATTTCAGATTACACTTTAAACATTTCATTGTATTGTATGGTCAATGTACCATTTATCATGTTGCTGTGTAAACATGTTACTTCAGTTCTTGGTGTATCACCGTTATTCCCATTAATGGCAAACGTTTGGCACCCTGTGCTGCCACGCATTGCACCTTTTTTTTTTTACAGTGCACCTACAATCTCTGCCGGTACGAGACTCGAACCCGAAGAAGAAGCTGAATGATGTGTTCGGTGATGAAGAGGTTAAAGCAGGACTGGACAGTTGTGAAGCGGGCAGTGGCGTGGCGTGTGGGACCCGGGGACATACAGTAGCACAGCATCTCAGTGTGAGAGGAAGATCAAAGAATCTGCTCATTTTTTGAATTCCACTGAGGATGTGCTATCTCCTCTGTTTGCTCACTCTCAGTTCTGTCATTAGAGGAACAAGAGCTATCGGAGGGGTCAGACTCCAGCGCAAACTCGACTTCATCCTCTGAACTCAACTCTTCATCCTCAGTTTCATATGCACCCGGGTGCTCACTGTCAGTGGGCACAACTAGCTCCAGAGCTTCCTCTGTTGTGAAATGTCTCTTCATCTTGCAAGCTATGAAATGACCAGGCCCTCAAGCATCACATATTTATAGGTTTGGCTGTGAGAACACCTGTGTCAACTCAGACTTTGTCTAAGATCTACCAGACTAAACAATCAGCATTTTCTTGTGAAAACAAAAACAAGGTGTTCAGGGGCTTCTGAACTTCTACATCAAAATCAAGCTCACCTTTTATCTCTATACAAACACAATAACAAATGAAAAAGTGCAATCAAGGAATAAGATGTGTTTGAATAAAAAAAAATCTTCAAAGCTCAGTAACCTTCTTTGACCTTATTCATAGTTTTGACATGGCCCCATGACCCTGCCAAGGGTGACTCATATACATGGGGTGGGATTTTTGATTTCCAGTACAATATCATTTCTTTCAAACTATTTATACACATAACATTTTCAGTTCACACATACAAACCACACTCTGACATCCATACCAACATAACCCACACAATTATAGCTGCATAATTTATCCAACTGACTCTATAATAGACTATAATATGCATAAACAGGAATAAAGCGAGTACTTGCTTTATATGCCAAACTTGAAAAAAATGGCACCATCTAGTAAAAAGTAGTCAATTTTAATTCTGAAGCCTTGCTAACAGAATTAAAGCCTATTAGCAAATATT